CCAAAACTTTGTTTCAGCATCGTTTGTTGAAGAAAAGAAAAAATCTCTCTCCTCCATTAACTTGCTTTTGCAGGGATGCCTGGGTGGCTCAGTCCGTTAAGTGTCAGGCTTCCGCTCAGGTCATGATCTCATGGTTCATGGGTTTGAGCCCTGCATCCAGTTCTGTGGGACAGCTTAGAGCCTGGAGCCTGTTTCAGATTCTGTGTCTCCCTCTCTCTCTGCCCCTCCACTGCTTGCACTCTGTCTCTCTCTCAAAAATAAATATTTTTTTTAAAACTTGCTTTTGCACACTTGTCAAAAATCAATTAGCTGCTTTTGTGGGTGTTTCTGGGTGCTCTGCTCTTTTCCGTTGATATCTGTTGATCCCTCTGCCTACATGACGGTCTCCACCACTAGTCTTACAGCAAGCCCTGATACTGGGTAGGGGAATCCTCCTGATTTGCTCTTTTTCATGGTTGCTCTAGGTATTTGGGAAATCATACCCTTCCACATAAATTTTAGTATAAACTTGTCTATGTCTATAAAAATCCATCTTGGGAGTTTGATAGGAAATGCATTGAAATTATAGATCAATTTGGGGAGAATTGACATCTTTGGTATGTTTCTTCTTTAAGTAGGCTTCACACCCAATGTGGGGCTTGAAATCACAACCCTAAGATTAAGAGTCACACACTCTACCCACTGAGCCAGCCAGGTTCCCCAGCTATGGAACTATGTTGAGGCTTTCAATCCATGAACATGGTATATCTCTCTGTTTTTTTTAGGTCTTTTCTGATATCTTCCATCAACATTTTGTAATTTTCAGCATACAGCTCCTGTATGTGTTTTGTTAAATTTATGCCGAAGTGCTTAATTTTCTTTGTAGTAATTGTAAATGGTATTGCTTTAAAGTTTAGTTTCGGGGCGCCTGGGTGGCTCAGTCGGTTGGGTGACCGACTTCAGCTCAGGTCACGATCTCGCGGTCTGTGAGTTCGAGCCCCGCGTTGGGCTCTGTGCTGACAGCTCAGAGCCTGGAGCCTGTTTCAGATTCTGTGTCTCCCTCTCTCTCTGACCTTCTCCCATTCATGCTCTGTCTCTCTCTGTCTCTAAAATGAATAAACGTTAAAAAAAAATTTTTTTAAAAAGTTTAGTTTCCACATGCACATTGTTAGTGTATAGAATGTCATTAAATTCTGTGTGTGTTGATCTTGTATCCTGAGAACTTGCTGAACTCACTTTTTAGTTCTAGGAGGTTTTTTTTTTTTTTCTATAAATTCCTCGGAATCTTCTACATAGACCATCATGTCATCTGCAAATGCAAAATTTAACTCAAAATGATCATGGACTTACATGCAGAAATGTGTGAAACTATAAAACTTTTATAAGAAAACAGAAGAAAAACTTCAGGACTAAGGGCTTGGTGAAGAGTTCTTAGACATGATACCATGAAAGCACAATCCACAAAAGGACAAAAAGAATAAATTGAATTTCACCCAAATTAAAAACATTTGTTTTGAGAAAAATTCCACTAAAAGGATGAAAAAACAAACTACAGATAATTAAAAATATTTGCAAACCATGTATTTGATAAAGGACTGGTACCTAGAATATATTAGAATTCCCAAAACTTAAAAAAAAAATGCAGTTAGAAGGTAGGCCAATATTTGAAGCGGCATTTCACCAACAAGGATATATAGATGGTAAATAAACTTGTGAAAGATGTTCA